GGATACGTACTCTCCTGTCGTTCGAATTGAGACTGTGCGGATGTTATTGATCCTGGCATTTCTATTGGGTTATGAATGCTACCATGTTGACTTCGTTACGGCTTTCCTTAATGGTGTGCTGAAAGGAGTGAAAATATACATGGAGCAGCCCGCATACTTCAATGACGGAAGCGGTCGTGTATGTGAGTTGCTGAAAGGACTCTACGGCTTGAAACAAGCTTCGCGCTTATGGTACCAGACACTGCACGAGTACTTGGAGCAAATTGGCTTCAAGCAGTGCACATTTGACGTCGGTTTGTACCAGCGGTGGCAGGACGGCCGCGCTGTGTACGTTACAGTATATGTTGATGACTTGTTGATCGCTGGATCAAAGGAGGACATTGAGCATGTAATCGGTGAGCTGAGCGAAAAGTTCGCGTTGAAGAACCTCGGTCGTGTAAAGCACTTGTTGGCTATGGAGGTTAAGTATGTGCCGGGGGAGTTGCTCTGCATCTCGCAGACAGCATACATTGACCGAGTGCTCGAACGTTTTGGTATGAGTGGGGCGCGGTCAGCGGCTTCCCCGCAGATGCAGAACGAGAGGATGCCACCGATTGAGAAAAATCAGGACAAGACCAATGATCCAAAGTTTCCGTTCCGTGAGTTGGTGGGTGCTTTGCAGTATCTAGTGGCATGCACGCGGCCGGACTTGGCCAACGTAGTGCGTACGTTGTCTCGCTACAGCAGCTCGTACACAGAGGAGAATTACGAGTGTGCGAAGCGCGTACTGCGTTACCTACGGGCTACGCGAACCTACGGCTTAGTGTATAAACGTCAAGCGAACGTGCTGCCGCTGACAATTGATGCTTACTGCGATGCCGACCATGCCAACTGTCCGGATACGAGTCGATCTATTACAGGATACATTCTGCGGTTGAACGGATGCATGTTCATGTACAAGAGCAAGCAACAAAGCAAAGTGACCACGGACACGTGCAGCTCGGAGCTGCTTGCAGCAAGTATGTGCGTGGAAGACTTGATGTGGGCTCGTAAGTTGCTGAAAGAGATTCGGAGTGATAAGCTGCCGTGCTCTACGCTCTACATGGATAATCAAAGCACGCTCACTGTAGTAACAGAGCCTGGGAATTACCAGCGTATGAAGAGATTTGCCAAGACAAGTCGGAAAATCGCCGAGTTCGTGGAGAAAGAGAAAATCGCGGTGCAGTATATCTCGAGCGAAGAGAACATCGCAGACATCTTCACGAAGGCGTTGGGACCACAAAGATTCCAGGGTCTCCGCCAGAAGCTAAACGTTGAAAACGTTGAACAGGATGAGGCTCAGCATCAATGAGGTGGGAGTAACAGGAAGCTGCTCATCTGCAATGCAGCACGGTCATTCAAGCTGAGACCAGGCATATAGGAGACAAGAAGAACCACGTGCCAGTAAGCAGGGACGCGTGAGTTCAACGGGGGTTTTTAGCTGTTGATGGTGCGATGCATGTCCAACGGGTTTTCCTCCGCGTGCATGGCACGTTGCGTATGAGAGACTGCGCGGAGTAGAAAGGTTTAACGATGAATGCATTCTTGCTTTTGCTTTCCTGACAAACAAGTCAAGTTTCTCTGACTTACTACTTGTCCGCGAGACCATTACGCTGCAGTATACTGCGTGAACTACCAGGTTATCTGCTACCACAAAGCTAAATATTTGCTTTAAGTGACTAAGAGTTCATGTACCTCGTGGCCTGGGGTCTCTCCCTTCAGCTCTGCTTAAGTACCTTCCCTAGTTCACAGCCGGCGAGGACGTACAAGAGTTGTGGTGTGCAAGAAGCTGGTAATCGATTGTGTGACGTTTGTGTTGCTGAAGCTATTGAGTTGCTTTAACTAAGGTGCACTTAAGTTTTTTACACCACGATTTGAAACCATTATTATCTAATAGAATTTCACTCGACCGTCGGAGCCTCGCTTTTTTTTAAGTTAGAAGAGTTCAAGTGTGCCGTGAGCGTTTGCTACTTATGAGAAGTTGAGGTGTGTATGTGTGTTGTGTGCACGGCATTGTATTATAATGGAGTATTTCATCAACCATGGGTCTAAAACTTAGTGCACAATGCAGATGCACAAATCTGTGGAGGGACTGCTTCTTAGCCTTGACTTGAAGTCTGCAATCTAGGTTTCAGGTAGAGCGTTGGGTGAATGCTAGCTTGGGAGCAGGTTTTAGTGGCTCCTGCGTGGCTGAACACGTCTGCAGATGGATAATGCAAAGGTCTTCTTGGTTAAGATTCAAAATGCTTTACTTACTATTGTATGCTGGGCGTCACTAGTGTCGTTTCCGTGACTTACACTGCAGCCTGCAAGTTGAAGGAGACGGTCAATGCCGCTGCAGCACATGGGACTTGTATCTGTTCATTCGCCAGTAGTAATGCAGCCTTGTGCTTTGCATTGCAGTCTCCGTGATTTGGCTTCGTACATATTTCCAGTTATGGATGGCATGAACAGCGTAGCGTGCACCATCGCCAACGCCGATGCCACTGAAGAGTATTAGTAATCGACGTCGACATACACAGTGGGAGATTTTTGGTCCGCCGTGGGTCAAGGTTGCGGACGATGTGCGTCTGTCCCCCTTTTACGACAAGAAGGAAGTTTGTTTATTGTAGTGTATCAAACTGGTGCATAACTATTGATTGGGATGATAGCCTGTCTCTTTTATGGTGCACAGATAATTACCAAGACGACTGCGTTTGTGGACGGGAACGCCAACCTTTGAAGGCAACTGTGGACCGTGTACGCTCCGGATGACCATTGCAAGGGCAAGCTGAAGCTGGGTTTCGACAAGAGCTACCACAGCACCTGCTCGCTGGATTCGATCGGCTACAGGAACGTATCAAACGTATTTAGCTTGTAATGCTTTGAGTTGGATCTCACGCTGTTATTCTACCCAACCCGGTGCGATGTTTTGCAGTCTGCGTGATATGCAGCGTGGTGGCTACGAGCTCCACTTACCACGGCGACAACGAGTACTGCCAGGTGAGCGATAAGCAATATGCCATGAAGATTCTTGCGCTCACGATCGCCAATGTCAACGCTGCTCAAGCGTAATCGGCCAGCATAATTGAGTGGCAGATACTGAGTTGAGGTCTAGTAGATGAAGAAGTAATACTGACTTGTGTTTTTAAAGAATTAAAGAAACGTGAAAATGAAGGTGAGTCAAAAGCTTGCTTGACGTTTTTTTTACTTAAAGTGAGACTCAGGCGCGAGTTCTATTAAGTCAAGGTTACAAACCCGATGTTGTAGCCATTCTGGAACTCTCCGATGACGACGCGAGTCAGCGAGACGTTGGAGGCAGCAGTGACGCCCCCCTCGGTCGACGACTCGCAGTGTATCGAGAGCACCGGGAGACAGTTCAGCAGACCTTCGTCAAGATGTCCACTGTGGTCCACGTCGACGCTGCGAAATCTCGTGACGCGACGACAAAGAAACTGGTGCTGGAGATCCATCGAGCGCGAGGGTCTCGAGGGCCCTTTCGAGCTCGAAACCCGCCACAGTTGATCATCACGGGGCCTCCAGTTAGTGGCAAAGGCACGCAGTGTGAACTCCTCGTACGTGCCTTGGACGTCGTGCACTTGTCTACGGGCGAGATGCTTCGTCAGGCGATTCGCGACGGCACTTCACTGGGTCAACAAGCGCAAGGATACATGGACAATGGCCAACTCGTTCCTGATGAGCTCATTGTGGGTGTCGTGCTGGAGCGGCTGGCTCTACCAGACTGCAAGTCCCGTGGCTGGCTGCTGGACGGCTTCCCACGCACAGAAGCTCAAGCGCTCGCGCTGCTGGCTGCACGGATCGCTCCGGACTGTGTGCTGGCACTGGACGTGGCAGACGACCAAGTGGTCAAGCGCATCGCTGGTCGACGTCTCGACCCCGAGACTGGCAAAACGTACCACATGGAGCTCAACCCTCCGCCCTCGGACGTGGCTGCTCGTGTGATTCAACGCAGCGATGACACAGAGGAGACGGTGCGTACTCGACTGCAGCAATATCATGCGCACAGTGAGGCTGTCGTGTCGACATTAAGCGGCGTGTGTGAGCTGATCCAAGCGGACGGAACGCGCTCCGTCGACCAGGTAGCAGAGCAGCTGCTGGGTGGGGCGGAGCGCTGCCTGCTACGCAACAATGCGGCCATCATCTCGCTCTTCAGCATGAACTCAATGTACCAAACGCGTGCGTCACTGTTCCTGGCAAATGGTACGTTTCAGATTTATCCGTCGAGTTCTAATATTTAGAACTTTCTAATGTTGATATTGTGTTTTTTATTTAGTTTTTGAACACTTCAAGGACAAAGATTGCGTCTTGCTGTGTCTACCCGAGAGCTGCAACAGACCTGTCATTACCAGCGGCTTCCGGTCTGTGTGTGGCGATCCGTCCGTCTCGA